ACATGTCTTACGTAATGAATACCGCACTTATCGCTCATGGAAATTGATTGATTTTTTACATGCATGTTTACAAACATTAGATCTAAATAATTCTCTGTTGTTTTTTTCCTAATCGAATTAGAACATTTTTAATGAATTTTTTCCTGAGGTAGCATTCAAGTTTGTGAAAAATCCGTGAAAATCCACACTCCAGACTCCACCAACAAAAATTTATTCCATATATAAAAAATTCAACAAACAAATATGTAGTATTACCTCTTCTCTTCATTCTGTGAAAATTTCATGAAGATTGGAAGAAAAATGGTGGAGTTATTCAAAAGAGTATAGAGAAAAGTCGCATTTTGAGAAAACGGCTGATAAAGAAAAATAAAATATTGACTTTATGAGGAAATGGCGGATACAAACATGCCCGGTATGGGAAAAAATACTGTTTTGGGGGGTTATTATGCCATGAAATAGTTGTAGGAGATGCTGAGGAAGCAACAAATGCCTACAACTCAAATTCCATAATTTTTTAGTCGAATTTTGACTTTGGGGGTGTAGCCCCCCCCCCCTTAAGTACACGTAACCATGTACGTTAAAGGGAATTCAGATAATTTATTTATTTCTTGTACAATTCTTTTAAATAATGATGTGCCACAGAAAGCATGTGGAAGAAAGCAGAACTAATATTTTAAAAAAATCTCTTTTGACCACTTAAGGAACCAAAAAGAACAAACAAACAAAAAAAAACATTTAAAGACATGATATGTTATATCCTTTAATTTTATCAAACCTGCCAAAATTTGAGAGGTAAAGCAGTAATTTTATTTGAATATGTATATCCTCAAGTATAGCACAGCTCATAAAATTACAAGTATATTAAATTTTATAAATATTGTGTGTGTGATTGTGGGTGTGTTTGTGTGTTTGTGTATGTGTTTTTGTGTGTGTTTGTATGAGTGTGTGTGTGCATGTATGTGTGTTTGTGTGTGTTTGTATGTGTGTTTGTGTATATATGTATGTGTGTGTGGGGGGTACTTAAAGATATTATTATTATGTTATTATTATTGTTAAGATCTATTACACCCCACCTCCTCTACTACTTCACACACATACACACACACACACACACACACACACACACACACACACACACACACATCCCCCCATACACACACACACAAACACACACACACACAAACACACACTCACAATCACACACACACATACAGCACACACACACTCACACATACACACACATTCACATATACACACACACAAAGACACACACACACTTTTGTGGTTGTTGTTGATACATTAAAATCCGTCTTTTTCACAGTTCTTGCATGACATCACGGCTACCCTCAAGCTCATACCTTACAGAGTGAAGATCCCGGATGTTTTTAGAAGGTTTAGTAAGTTCAAAATGGAGGACTCAAGCACGCATTTACTCATTTATATAATATTTCATACGTAAATTAAACTTTCACACACATTTTAAGGAGACAGACAGACAGACAGACAGACAGACAGACAGACAGACAGACAGACAGACAGA